GCTTTGCATTGAAGTCACCGCACATGATGAAACGGTGTTTGTGCATTTTAATAAGCTGTTTGTACTGCTCTGTTTTAATTTTGTGCCTTGGCGGGCTGTAGACACAAGTAATTTGTAATTTACATTGCAGATCAAGCGTAATGGTTATCGCCTGAAACTCTTCTTTGGAGATTATTTTGGATACGAAATACTTAAAAGATTTCCGAATTAAGATTCCACTTCCTCCTCGAGCACAATTACTGGGATGTACTACGTGATGAAACTCGTAGTTTTAAAATTTTAGGTATGAATGATGTGTGAAATGCGTTTCAGTAATAAGGCAAACATCTATTTCTCTGGCTGCTAAAACAAGTTCAAGGTCTCTAAAATGTTTGAGTAAACCATTAGAGTTCCAAAGCATTATTTTTAGTAAACTTGACATTATTAATTAAGTTATCTTTTTTTGTTCTAACTTAGTAAGCCTCTTATCTAACATTTTATAGTAGCTTTCTTGTAGAGTTAATTTTTCTAATATTTGGTTAAGAATTTTATGATTTTCATCAGGCTGGGCGTTGGATCGCACTATTTCAGCGAACGTTGGATTGTTTTTGTTTGTAGGTTTTAAGTTTTTGTTTATCAAATTTTTGGTCACTTTATTTCGCTGGAGGTTTCCATTCTTCTCTTGAATTATTTTTTTTCTTTGTTTTTGGAGCTCCTTAGCCACTACACAACCTCTGTAATTGGTCGGATGTTCTTCTCCGCAGTTGCAGCATGTAGGTTGTTGCTGATCAGGCTTTTTGCATTCTATTGTCTTATGGTTGTCGATACATTTAACACATTGGGCTATTTTGCCACAATAGTTTTGAGTGTGACCATATTCTTGACATGTTTTACATTGTGGTATTTGTCTCGACCGCTTTATTGTTTCTATTTTAACACAATTCAATATAGTTTTGATTTCGTGTATTTTTTTAATATCTTCAGACGCATCAAATGTGAGCATAAACATGTCGAGTGGCTCTTTTGAGAAGGGCTTTTACTTATTTACCGCATTTAGAATGTTCAATCCTTTCTCTTGCAGATCAGTTACAATCTCAGACGGGTCACATGACTTTGGAAGGTGTTTAGCTATTACTTTTATCGGACGCAGTTGTTTATTTTCATAAGAATACCAAACAATTTTTTGCGTAGATAGTGCTTTTGTTATTGATCTGTAGTCATTAACCTCAGATGTACTGATTTTGTACAAAGAACTATTTAAAAGTTTGATAGAAAATTCTTCTTTACAGTTGTTTTTAGCAATGAGAAGGAGATCTGAGTAGTTCATTCCTTCTGAAACCATAATTGGAGGTGGACGTGATGATTTTTGGTCTGCTGAGGCATTCTTAATTGTGTAAACTGATGCCATATTTTTGTCCTTGGAAGGAGATATGGAGTCAGGAGAGCGATCAGGTTTTCTCTTCTTGGCGGGCCTTTTCTTGAAGATCCACTCCGTTCCTTTCGCAAGTTTTTCTTCATCAGTTTCATATACAATTTGATTGTGCACATTCTCAGACTTTTGGGTAACAAGTAATGGAGAACCTTTAAGCAACTCATTTTCTTTTTTAAGAATTTCTATCTCATTTCTAAGTTGAAGACATAGCTGCTCCATATTGTTTATTTTTTCTATGTATGTAGCTATTGCACTACTAACGGCTTTCTCTTTAAATTTTGATACTTTTCCTCCACCATAAAGTGGAGGTTGCTGCGGATTCATATTAGATTCAGTTCTTTGCGTAATTTTTGTTAGTTGATATATATATAAAAAGAAAATAACTTACAACTACTCTATTAAAGCTGACAAATTGAATTACACAATATTATTTTTTTACACGATGTAAAGCCACTAGTTTAGTAGTTTTGCAACACTATGCTGTCTATATCAGCTGATTGTGTATGTGTAATAAAATATCAAATAAACAAATATCAGATGAATGTTATTTTTTGTTTTATGTTTTTGATTTTCCGTTCGGAATATTATAAAAAAAAATCTAATCAATTAATAAAATAACACTACGGGCGCGATATTTCGGCACTTTCGGCAAGTTCTTTAACTAATTCTGATATATATTATATTTTTTGATACTTTCGCATTTAATGACAAGTCTTTTCCCAGGTTTCACTTCGAAAAACACGGAGCGCACCACGAACGCGACAAATTCGCAAAAAAACGCAAAAATTCATAAATTCATAAATACAAATGAAATGTGAATAAGAGTTCAATAACTTATTAATGTGACTATTTGGGTTATTAAGTTTAATAAGTTCTTATGAAACTTTAATTTTTAATATTAATCTTTACGAATGAATTTTGTTTAGAAACAAAAGATTAGATTAGGTTCTATACATGAGAAAGAATAAATCATACAACAAATAATGCCTCTACGAACAGAATAGTATTGAAGTTTAAGAATTGAAAATAAAATTATAATTAATTAATTAATTCAATTATTCTACAGCTGGTTTATGATTTCGTTCTAATATAAACACAGCAAGTAAAATTGTTAATAAAAACTTTCATAGTAATAGTAACAAAAACTCCAGAAAAATATGCGAACAAAAAAAAAAAAAGTCAAGAACGGCTTTGGATCAATTGGTTAAGGTGCGCTGATTCTGAGCTTCACATTTGGCAGGACCCGAGTTCGATTCCTGGTACTTGCAGTCTCAAAAAAAAAAAAATAATTATTTAAGAATAATTAAATACAAGAATTATTTCCAAGACCACTGATGATGGGTATTTGGAAATACTCGAAACAGCTGTATGGTCAGCCAAAAATTCAATTAATTAAAAAATAATATAAAAAATAAATTTTTGTTGTTGTATTTCACTACTGTTCGAAAAAACCTCTTTATTAATTATTGTACATATATAAAACTTAAAAATTTTACCATATAAAAATGGAAAAGAAAGTTTAATATTTTTTTTTTGTGTTATACAAAAATACAGATGAAATCTAAATAAAATTTAATAATTTATGTGTGAGTGAAAAATCGAAATTTAAACATAATTGTAATTGCAAGCGGAGGCGAATAATTTCGAGGAACCTTGCGTATAGACAACGGCAGCTTTGAGTGATTTAAGTAATAACAAATTAAATTAGGTAGCGGTGGCAAATAGTACTGAACGACTGAATTGAAGGGTTATAAGATGAGTAAGACTCAGGGCTTGAACAGTGACTGAATCTAGGTTGCACGGCGTATAACACATGTAGCTTTAACAGTCACGTGTGTCTATACAATAGTGTCGGGAACTGTAGGTGGCTTTTAACAGAAACCTAACGTCTCCAACACCTGGACGCTTTAACAGTAAGCAGTGAAAGACGTGTTGTCCGCGACCCATAATACAGCACATCGCCAAAAAAATCAGACTTGTTAGACTCTATGTTACTGAAGAAGTGAAACAAAACGATAGGTTTAATGCCTTTAAGAATGCCTTTAGGTATACTCTTAAGTCATTACTTGAAATAAAAATGGCTCTTAAAACAGACTATAATATTGTGTTTGCAACCGAACATCAACATATAAGGAGTATCCAACAATCAGCCTAAAGATCCACGCCTCCAAACAATAAAAAACTCGCTACACCATTATGTAGCACGACTCAAGAAATATTAAGATCATCTGCTAGCAACCAGAGATTTGGAAATATGAAGAAATCTTCAACGACTTCATGCAACTACTTCCACCAACTACTCACTTTAGCGAGCAATCAAAAAAAGACATCAACGTACAACCCACCAGAAACAAACGAACAGACACAGAGAGATGCAAAGTCTACAGTTTTTATTCTAAACATTAAAAAGATCTAAATAGAGTAACTGAAGAGATTAGAGAGGTATAACACAGACGCAACAACTGGACTTTCCGATACGAAAATTCTCGATTTTCGACATAAAAGTCTAAATTAAAAAACTAAAAATGAATAAAGCACCCGGCTATGACTTATTTACGTAAAAAATATTGAAGGAGTTACTGGATCAAGCAATATTTCTACTGCGGAACATTCTTAATGCAAAGGCTTTATTAGGCTTTATTACAAAATTAAAAAAGGCTTTATTTTTCCTCACTTCAAGGTTGCTCAAATTAGCATGGTAACTGAAAAAACCGGGAAAGACAGCTGAGTAGTCTTGATTGTATCAATACCTATTGACTATTGTTTAAAACAGGAAGAAGAAATTTAAACATAGCAGCCAATTCAGGCTGTAGTGTCACAAGGCAGTGTTTTGGGACTTATATTATACTTGCTCTTCACGAGTGACTTGTCAACCACCATTGGAACTGACATTGGAACTTTTGTCGATGATACTGTGGTAATTGCTTCAGATGAAAATCACCAGTTAACTACAGCGCGCGTTAAATGACATTTCTCAAAGGCTTAAAAACTTGAGAAAAAATCTTCACAAATGAGTTCTACAACGAGAATATATGTTCACCGTTACGCCTTAACCATGTTTTAATCCCCCAATCTATCCAAACGAAATGTTGCACTTTGGCACAAAACAAACTTGGAAGCATCGTTTTTACAAAAAGAAAACCACTTGGCATCACACTGCGAGAGCTCTACTTGATACTGAACAAAAGCTCAAATCTCTCAATCGAAAATAAACTTCTTATCTATAAAGCCATACTTATACAAACCTGGACTTATGGCATTGAACACTGTGAAACGGTTTCATCTTTAAAAATAGAGATTATCCAACGTTTGCAATCAAAAACCCTTAGAATAATCTTAAATACTCTTAGATATATGACTGTGGCGACCCAGTTGGTTGTGCATTCAGTGAAATTGAAAAGTAAAATTCAATTTCAAATGTGTTTGAGTTTTTGAATTGAATTAAGGAAAACGTTTCAGATTTTTCTCTTGAAAAAAGTTGAATAAAATCTTATTAACATTGTTATTTATAACTGTTTCTATTCATTAGCAAGGTGAGAAGTCCATTGCTAAATTGGTGACCCCGACGTGATCAAATTATTGAGCCGTGATGTCAGTTGCAGACGAAGGTGCAGTGATGGCTTCTGATAGGGGAAGTTGCGTAAACCGTGTGTCAGTGAAGGTGCCGCCGTTTTGGTGCGAGCGACCGGAGATTTGGTTTGCTCAGATTGAGGCGCAATTCGCAGTAGGTACCATCTCGAGTGACGTCACACAGTTCAACATGATAGTGGCAGCGATTGAGTCAAGTATCGTGGCCGATGTGAGTGATACAGTGCTTCATTCCTCTGAAACTGGAAAGTACGCCAATTTAAAGGTTCGCATCATAGAAGGCTACAGTGAGAGCGAGCAGCGAAAGATTCAACGGTTGCTGTCGGAGGTTGAACTTGGTGATAGACGACCAACACAGTTGCTAACGGAGTTGACAGCGTTAGCTAAAGACAACGTGGCACTGGGAGAACTGGCAAAATTAGCAGACAATTGACGCTCACAAATGATGCTTCAGGCGTTGCGGTGGGTGTTGTTCTGCAACAAGTGGTGAGAGGAGTGACTCAGCTGTTGGCATTTTATTCAAGAGGTTTGAGTCTAGCGCAGAATAAGTACAGTGCTTATGATCGTGCAGCATTTTAAGTATGCGTTGGAGGGACATGATTTCGTCATTTTCACGGATCACAAATCATTAACGTTTGCGTTCAGGCAAATTAGTAAGAAGGCATCACCTCGTCGTGCAAGACAGCTGGAGTTTATTAGTCAGTATTGTACTGATATCCGTCATCTGGCTGGTGCTGTTAATACGGTGGCTGACTCTTTGTCTCGGGTTGCTGCGGTTCGGCTGGAGGCAAATGAGATTGATTTAATTGCTGAGGGGCAAAAGACTGATGCAGAGTTGCTCGCTCAGCTGCAGAACCAGTCTGAAGATGGTGTTGGGTTGAAAAAGTTGAGGTTGCCGGATTCGGGTATTGAATTGTACTGTGATGTGTCAGGCAGTCGTGTTCGGCCTTTTGTCCCTGCAAACTGTCGGCAGCTGGTTCTTACAAAACTCCATGCTTTGGCTCATCCTGGTGTTCGAGCAACGCGGAAGTTGGTGTAGGCTAGGTATGCTTGGCCTGGTTTGGTTAAGGTTGTGGCTGTATTTGTGCGTAGTTGCATCGCGTGTCAAAAGTCCAAGTACCAGCGGCATACTAAAACACCAAGCGGTTCGTTTGCTGATGTTGATAGTCGGTTCCAGCACGTTCATGTTGACATTGTGGGCCCATTGCCTTTATCTCAAGGCAAGCGTTATTGTTTGACTTGCGTCGATCGTTTTTCTCGGTGGCAACAGGCCCGCAAATAAACACGTTCCCTCAAATAAACGCTACTGGAACTTTAATCTGTGACCGACTACAACAGACGGATGTACTACATAGCACAGTCGACTCAACCCCACAATAATTTCAAGTATTTAGTCACTCACTCTTAAATATTGTCCATTGTCTATTCTTAAGTGAAAGATCAAAATAAAAGAAAATAATAAAAAAATAAAAATTATTGCAAATGAAAACGAATAAAAAACAAAATATGAAAATTAAATTTAAAATTTTGCCATTACGTATTATTGAACCAACTCAGTATTTATAAAAATATTGCTTTTTATTATACAAATTTTTTATTAGCAGCATAATTTAAGGGAATAATATATTTTAACATAGGTTTTTATTAAATCTGAACTGAAAGTTGGAGTTATTTACGTAAAGGAAGATCAATATTCCGAGGAACAAATTTTAGAAAACAATGAAAACTCCATTCATTTCGATGAATTTTTAACACTTTTTGGCGATCGCGTGCGGCTACGCGGTTTTGATAAATACAAAGGTGGTCTGGATACAGTACATGATTTAACAGGTAAAAAAGTATTACCGTGATACATTACAAAATTTTAGCATTGATTGAATGACTATCTATTCAAAAATTTTCAGGTCTATATTCAGTTTACACAAATTGGCGTAATATTGAGATAATGTTTCATGTTTCAACTCTCCTGCCATATGAAAAGCATGATCCCCAAAAACTACAGCGTAAAAGACATATTGGTAATGATATAGTTTGCGTAGTTTTTTTGGAGGCTGACAATACAAAATTTAGCCCGGCTTGCATTAAAAGTCACTTTCTACATACCTTCATACTAGTACGTAAGCAACAAAGAAAACAACACATACTTATTTCGTTAGTTTTTCAGGTTCGTGTATCAGCTCGCATTAAGCACAAGCCAACACGCTATGAAGTATCAGTAGTTACACGTGATGAAGTGGGTGCTTACAAACCATATTTATGGGAACAGTCAGTTTTTGAAAAAGGACCAATGTTTCGGTAAGTCATTGAAAGATTTCGAAATTAGTAAGCATTAATAATTTTGAGTATTTTTTTGAAACTAAGGGAATGGTTGTTAACGAAAATAGTTAACGGGGAGCGCGCTTCGTATTCAGCACCGAAATTCGCACGTATGCAGGAACGAACTCGTTCTCAAATGCTGGAAGATTTGGTCATGAATCTATCAAATCACGCGGAAACCGGCCAAATACCGAAGCCTTATCGTAGAGGTTCCTGGCGACCCATTGGTGAGGATGAATATATCAAAATGTTGCATGCAAGAGTTTTAAGAAAGGTTTCAGATACGCAACAAACGTCACCGATGGACGTTGGTGTGTGCTGTGTACATCTCTGTGTGAAGAATAGTATGTAGGGTAACCCTATGAACCCGAAAACTCCTTTCTTTTTATAGGAATGTTTTGACATTGGAGATGTCTTCCATAATTTTACCCACAAATATTAAATTTTTACTTTCTTCATGATAAACTACGGAAGTAAACAATGTATTAAAAGATTGTGCAGTGCTTGACTGTAAGAGTACAATTCCCATTAACTGCTTATTTTTTCAAATAATCAATATTTCTTAAGTATCAAATACTGATTTAATTGTAACTTCTGTTGTGTTTATAAAACAACATCACACAAATTTATTTATTTTTGTTTGATCTGAAGACATCTTCAATGTCTATATTAATTGCTTTTTAGTGTATATATAATACATGTCACATGTTTGCACATTTGTTAAATGTACACATAACCGCTCATCAGCATTATGTTGGTTGTATTTTATAAATAAGTATTGTCAAGACGTATCTAATTTTCAGTGTTGCATTATCTTATGTTCAAACAAATTTTTAAGTTTCATTTGACAAAAAATTTAAATAATTTTTAGTTTTAGCTACGTAAATGCATAAAAAAAAAGTGATCAAATTTATATTATCTGCTTGAACTTAAGATAAAGCAGCAATAATATGAAAATGCGTTTTGTTGGTAAGCATATAACTTGAAAATGGCTGACCCGATTTAGCGCATTTAAAAAAAAGCAATAAAAAATGTGGGCTTCTGCTATGCTGAAGCTGGGATATCATGTAGATATCCCAAATATACCATATGTAGTGTACTAGCTGAATTACATATATAGATAATAAAATATATATAGGTACGACCAAGAACAAACTTAATACAGGGATAGCTAGACATAAACACAGCATTAAAAATAAAAGGACTGTCGAAGCCAATATGACATTGGCTTTATATAATATTGACTGCAAACATGAACCAGGGCCCTGTTGCATCAACACTTTTCACTTTGCACTTTGCACTTTGCAAAACTTATGAGTGACTTTTTTTGCAAAGTAAAAGTGAAAAGCGTTGCACCAAAGACTTAACATGATTTACTTTGCACTTTGCAAATAAAAATTTCATTCCAGTCTTTGCATAAAATGCAAAGCAAAGCGTTGCACCAAAAAATTAGATCACTTTCATTTTGTATTGGTTTTTGAAAGCATTTCGTTTCTGTTTGTACATTTTTTTTTTGTTTGTTTGATATTTTGATGCTATGAGTACATGGTTTATGCATGGTATGTACTTATGAGTTTAATTTTTGTTTAAAATAAAAGTTTTTAAAATAATATTTTATTTTAATAAATTTTATTATTATAATTTCTAATATTTGTATAATTTAGTACAACTATATGTTATACATTAACACACAACACAAAATTTTTGTATATGATTTCTTTTATTGGCATTGAATCGTAGATAAAGAAGTTGTGTATATCCATAGAGACAATTTTTATGCTTTTAATTTATTTTGCAGTTTGAAAAGTTATAAAAAAAGAATTTATATGTAAGGAGTATGAGTTAACAACAATTATATTGAAAAACAAAGTTAACAAATATAATAAGTTGCTTTTATATAAAAATTTAGTTGAAAATATGTCATTATTATTAAATTTTAAAATATTATAAGTTATTATAGTATTGTTTACTTGTCGCTGTGTATTATCCTAATACAAAAGAAACCTACGCATAAAGGGCCTAAATTACTGATTTTATTTAAAACATTTCTCTCAATTTATACAAAATTACCTTAAAACTGACTTAACTAATTTTACTATCAACGTTAAAGAAATATGTTGTCTGTTATCACTAATTTTAATTTTATTTTTAATTACATTTCAAACAAGGTTCAAAAAACGACGCAAGTCCAGACACTTGTAATTTTTTCTTCTATTGTCTTTAGAAATATATTGTTATTATTATAATTAGATACGGATAATTAGATATTTAAAAATGTTACAATGTTAGCTATTATAGGATATTTCTTACCCATGTTTTTTCTTAGTTCATAATTCGGAGAATTTGAACGACAACAGACTTATAATAATAATAAACTGTTCATTATAATAAATAAGTGATCATGCTTGAACAATAATTCACATAAAATATTTATATTAAATGTATTATAAAGTTTTTTTAGAAACTGAACTCTTTAATTCACAATTTAAAAGTATTGTCCGGTAATATATCCCTTTAATTATTGCAACTAAATTTATTTTAAAAACAGCAATAATATTTGTTTAAACTAATTTTCTATTTCTATGTTTTTAAAACTATTTTTATTTATTTATTAATGATTTCCTTCATTTCACGCATTTTGTCTTTTATTAATACACATAAGAAACTTTTCTTTTGTGTAAAGCAATCATTTGCAAAATTTGCAGGGTGAATTAATCATTTATAATTTTTTTGTAAAGCTTTGCAGTTTACTTTTGCAAAGCGCAAAGTAAAAAGTATTGGTGCAACAGAAAATCCAAAAAAACAGGTTTTTTTTGTCAAATATTTCACTTTTCTTTTCATACTTTACTTTTCATTGAAACCAGGGCCCTGTTGCACCAACACTTTTCACTTTGCAAAACTTATGAGTGACTTTTTTTTTGCAAAGTAAAAGTGAAAAGCGTTGCACCAAAGACTTAACATAATTTACTTTGCACTTTGCAAATAAAAATTTGACTGCAAAGTCTTTGCATAAAATGCAAAGCAAAGCGTTGCACCAAAAAATTAGATCACTTTCATTTTGTATTGGTTTTTGAAAGCATTTCGATTCTGTATGTATACTTGTTTTTTGTTTGTTTGATATTTTGATGCTATGAGTACATGATTTATGCATAGTATGTACTTATGAGTTTAATTTTTGTTTAAAATAAAAGTTTTTAAAATAATTTTTTATTTTAATAAGTCACATTATTACTATTTGTAATATTTGTATAATTTTAGTACAATTATATGTTATATATTAATACAAAACACAAAATTTTTGTATGTGATTTCTTTTATTGCCATTGAATCGTAGATAAAGAAGTTGTGTATATCCATAGAGACAATTTTTATGCTTTTAATTTATTTTGCAGTTTAAAAAGTTATAAAAAAAGAATTTATATGTAAAGAGTATGGGTATGAGGTGTTTTAACAACAATTATATTGAAAAACAAAGTTAACAAATATAATAAGTTGCTTTTATATAAAAATATAGTTGAAAATCTGTCATTATTATTTAATTTTAAAATATTATATTATATTAAAATATTGTTTACTTGTCGCTGTGTATTATCCTAATACAAAAGAAACCTACGCATAAAGGGCCTAAATTACTGAATTTATTTAAAACATTTCTCTCAATTTATACAAAATTACCTTAAAACTGAATTAAGTAATTTTACTATCAACGTTAAAATAATATGTTGTCTGTTATCACTAATTTTAGTGGACTGTATTATTTTTAATTACATTTCAAACAAGGTTCAAAAAACGACGCAAGTCCAGGCACATGTGATTTTTTCTACTATTGTCTTTAGAAATATATTTTTATTATAATAATTAGATACGGATAATTAGATATTTAAAAATGTTACAATGTTAGCTATTATAGGATATTTTTTACCCATGTTTTTTCTTAGTTCATAATTCGGAGAATTTGAACGATAACAGACTTATATGGCGTTTACATTGGCCGAAAATGGCTCATTTTGAATGACCCATTTGAAAGTGTTTACATTCGTTGTAATTCGTTTGTTTTCATTTTAAACAGGTGATTTTACAACTTGCTTGTTGATTTGATTTTTGGCCTGTGCCAAAAAAATGTTGCATGAAGGTTAAATATGCCTTCAAACCTTACAATATAAACTTAAAACATATTTTTAACTTCTATTAATTACCTTTTGGGAAGTAGAAGTTCTAAAAAGAATTGCATCGTTTTCAAGAAAATGCAACCACCAAACATTTGTTTACTTTTTTTTGTAAATATATCAAAAACAGCTTTCTCAAACTGTCAAAATGCTATGAAAAGCTTTTATTTATGGTATGTTCAATGGATTCCTTTGCACTTGGAACATATGTGGAATGCATTCGAACGTCTTTCATACAGAATGTGAGAAAATTGCTCATTTTTGCGCTTGAAATTTTATATGCAAGAATGAGTCATTCGATACTCATTTTCGATTTTTGACCAAAATGAGCTATTTTCGGCCAATGTAAACGCGATATTATAATAATAATAAACTGTTCATTATAATAAATAAGTGTTCATGCTTGAACAATAATTCACATAAAATATTTATATTACATGTATTATAAAGTTTTTTTAGAAACTGAACTCTTATATTCACAATTTAAATATTTGCCTAAACTAATTTTCTATTTCTATTTTTTTAAAACTATTTTTATTTATTTATTAATGATTTCTTTCATTTTACGCATTTTGTCTTTTATTAATATAATATACATATTATAATATGTATATTCTTGTGTGTAAAGCAATCATTTGCAAAATTTGCAGGGTGAATTAATCATTTGCAATTTTTTTGTAAAGTTTTGCAGTTTACTTTTGCAAAGCGCAAAGTAAAAAGTATTGGTGCAACAGAAAGTGCAAAGAAACCAGTTTTTTGTCAAATATTTCACTTTTCTTTTCATACTTTATTTTTGATTGAAAGGTACATTGGTGCAACGCTTTGCCTTTTTTGAGTGTTTTCAAAACTTTGCATAACTCAATTCTCAAATTAATACTTTATGTTCTCAATGAGAGAAAAATGCTGAAAAACTCATAATGATTTGCAAAGTGCAAAGTGAAAAGTGTTGGTGCAACAGGGCCCAGGTCCCGGCGGGTTACAACAACAACAACAATTATCACTGAAAGCAACTCTGAAGAGATACATATGTTGAAACAACAAATCAAAAATTGGAAGATAAACTTAAAGCAGAAACCAAGTCAAAAAATAATGTAGTGCTTGTAGTCTAAACTCAGAGCAATTAAAAAAAATTTGATTTGCTCTTCTATGCTATAAGAAAGTTTATAAAAAGTATTAAATAATGTCTCCAATGCAATATTAATTCAAAAAAGAATTTGAAAAACAATAATAGATATAAAATTTCTTATGTCAAGAAATTTAGGAAAATTATGCTAGTGATGTCAAATAAATTGACTATGATAAGCGATTTGGATTAAAAAACTAAGGAGCTACAGAAAAATTTCAATTCCCGAAGCGTTCCGTAACTAACAATTTAGAGGAATTTAGATATCTTTGCACCAGAATTTACCGTTTTTGTGAATAATATTCAAGGAATTCTAACCTCCATTACTTATAAGCGTATAAAATCGTCGCTTTATGGACAAGTATGGTAGATGGTACAGCATACTCTTAGAGGTAATGAGAATAATTAAGAAGCGGAATGCAAACTTTCGAAGAAAAAAGTATGAAAATTAAAGAAATAGATATCAATAATCTAAGCACCATTAACTAATTTATTTACACAATTATACAGTGGATTCTATCATTAAGCAACAAGCAGCTATAAAAGATGAAGCTGATGTCATTTCAGTACATATTTATATAGATTTGGTTGGAGCCTTGTTCCCAAAGTCCATTTGAGTTCTAATAATGTTCCGTTGTGATTAGCGTTGTTCATAAGCGGACTAGAGGTCAGCGTATTAACAACACTAAAACAATGATATAAATCAATAGATTCATATTATTAGTACTAAAGTATCTGGTAATAAAATTATAGTTGGCATATCGAAATATAAAATAAATTTAAAAATTTTTCCGTAGTTCCAAAGCGATAGCAAAGTCGAGATGGAAGTCATTGTAATATCAAACTCACATAAATCTCTTCCAATTAAATCATACGAGATTTCATTAGTGTAATTAAAAATGTATATTTAATCACATCTCCGATTTAACATGGTAGACATTTCGGTGAATTTCTTTCAGAATGCGCTTTTGGAAAATTTGAGGTATAATAATGCGTTGTCCGAACATTAAACATCCGTCAACTATACATATGTCGTTTTTTCAGTTAAAGTAAGCTTTTAACTCACTGTTGTTGTAGTATTCGAAAATTTTAGCTAAAACCTTGTCCTTAGCTGTTTCGTAAGTAATCATTTTGCTGGTAAGCGGCAGCCTAGTTACTTCAATTGCGCCTAGTTACTAAAAAACTAATGTTTTTATATCGGGGACTTGAAATTGTCGATATTAATCCTTATCTATAATATTATAGTATAATGATTAATATTTAATTTAATTGATTAAATCAGACGGTTTGGTTCTCTTAAGCCGTCGTACGTTGTCTTCTGTTTGAAGGAGTGATGAAGCTTCTGTGTTGCAGTGAACTTCAAGTCTTTTTTGTGTGCTTCGGCCTGAAGCTTGATTATTCCAGCAACTGTCGGAATATGCAAGTCACGATGGTCATTGTATTGTCTGTCTATTTGACTCAGATGTGCAACGCCAGAGTTGAGATCCGTAGGCCCAAATTGGACGTAGAACCTGCTTGTTTATTATTAGCTTGTTTTCGATTGACATAACGGAATGTCGTCCAAGTAGCCACTTAATTGAGTTGAACTTAAGATTTAGTTCTTGACGTTTTTTTTGACATGTTCACACCACCGAAGTCTCGCATCAAGTGTCATGCCCAAGTATTTAGCTGTATTTGCGTGTGGATTTGTTGGCCATCCATATACAGAGGTATATTTCTAATTTGCTTAAATGTGAACACAACATATACAGTTTTCAAGGTATTTGATTGTACTTTCCATTTTTTAGCTCACTCTAGCACGTTGTTGAGAGCGGCTTGAAGGTTCCTTGTTGCAATGCTTTCGGTATTTTCCACTGATAATAGAGCCGTATCGTCTGCAAAAGTCGCAATTGTTGTGTTATTTAAACTCGGAATATTATGTGTATAAAAGAGATATAAAAGCGAGCCAAGGATACTACCCTGTGGAACGCCAATTATATTTAATAAAGACACAAAATTTAAGTTATATGTTTCTTTATTGAATTGAATCTTAAGACTAAATTAAAAATATTTCTTAAACAATACCTTAAGTCTAGAAACATAATCAAATTCAGTTAACCCTGAAATGCAAAATATCTAACTCAGCAGATTTTTGCACCTGGGTACCGAATTTGATGCTTGCTGTCTTTGCAATAGCATTACCTAGATAACGCTATAGTAGACAGCTTAATATTTATATCAACATGCATATTCGCGTTAATACGATATTTATGAAAATATGCATGTCTATACAAACATAAATAAAATGCATACTAAGGTATGCAAGAGGTATGAGAATGTAACTCCTCCACCCCTTGATTCGAGATTCTCCTGGATCTCGTTACTCCGTTAAATATTTTTTCTTAATTTCATCTAATTCAATGTCTTTAGATGAATGTTCTTGAATCTTATTTATAATTTTAATATTATTTTTCTTTTTTATGCAAAAAAATATTACTACTATTGCAAGTATTATTACAAAAATTAAAAATCCACTTATTCCATAAGATACATTTTGATGAAATTTTAGTTCTTCAATTTGTTTAATATTTTCAAAATTTTTAATAGCGATTTTTCTGAAATTAATTTCTTTTGGAAAAGTGATATTGACATTGGTAGTCGGAATATAGAACTTGTCTTGTACCATCACTTTTTTATTTTCGAAAACAAATTGTCTTATTTTTATTTTACAATTATATATTGATATTAAATAATTCTTGTTTAAAATTACATTTCTATCATCACAATCTTGAATTGCTACATCATTCTTTGCATTCTTAATTACAAAAGTTTCTTCATCCATATTTAAAATTTCGAATTTGTTATTAAACTTTAATACACAATTTTGATAATAAATACAGTTTTGACTTTCTTTTAAGTTTTTTAAATCCATTTCCTCTTCGTAAGTATATACAATATTTTTTATTTCTATTACATGTTCAAGTTTTACATTAATTTCCATAAATTCCTTATTTGGCATTGGTACTATAGCTTTTACAAATGTTTTAATAAAATTTGTTGGTATTTTAATTGCAAAAATTAACATAGATTTTTTATATTCCATTATACCTAATTTTAATAACTTAAGTTTATAAAAATCAATATTGAAACGTTCTATTTCTTCAGTGGATAATATGCTTGGATGTAACATTTTATGTTTAGCGGCTGATATATTGTCTTGTATTTGGTTGAGTCTATTTTCTAAAAACCTAATTTTTTGCATTTGGTCAATATATAATAAATATTTAACAACTTCACTATTCTTTAATTTAATTTGTTCATAAATGGTTTTGATTTTTTTTCTGTCTTCTTCTACATTGTTTTTTAAAGTAACCATGCTTTCATTAAAGTATTGATTTATTTGGACTTGTTTGTTTATTGTAGTAATGGAATTATGATTATTTTCTTCTGTAATTCGCAAATGTTCTAATATTTCCTGACGATCATCATCGTCCATAGTTCCGAACAACCATTTATATGTTTTACCAACGACGTTCAGCAACCCTCTTTTCTGCCTAACACTTTCTGAAAATGGAGTTATTGATTTTACTTTGGCTTGGAGTATTTCTATCTCTTTGTATAATAAATCTTTGTTAAAAATTTCTAAATTCTGTATATTTGCTTTGATTTGTGTAATTATCAAGTTAATTTCATTTGGATCGATCATGTGTACAATTGTAATTGTGTCATTAATTATTTCTACTTCCCTCAATCTAATTTGAGTGTAACCAATTTCCTCAGTAATTTTGGAGACTTGTAACATTTGTTGGGTTCCTGTTATGAGCATCATCAGAGTCATTACAAAAGCCAGGATCTGCAAATTTATATGATCTTTTTATATTTGATGTGTGAATATTTTCTAATTTTCTTTTTATGAATTTAGGTTCATTTTTATGCCTAACATTTTTATAGTTCTTAATAAATCCTTCTGTACGGTTTTCTGTATAATTTTCTCGGTTTCGGTTTCTTTTGGAAATTCTAAAAAGTTTTGCTTCGTCCATTCGCTTTTTAATTAATTTGTGATCGATTTTGTTATATTCTACTTCTAATGGCGTAGCTTTTATTGTACTATGATAAGAATTATTATAGAATTTTATAGCTTTACACATTTGAGCTGTGATTGGAAGTTTTTTTGCTAAATTTAAGGTTCTTATACGTTCAGTAAGAGTATTATTTAACCCTTCAATATCAGAATTCCCTGTATGACTTAAGTTTTGTGGCATGGTAGTCTATACCCTTAGCAGATAGAAAGTCACGAACATTTCTGGAATTAAACTCATTATCAAAAATAAATGTTTTTGTATGCCCTTTTATGGCTAAAAATTTATTTATTTTTTCTACAATCGTTCGACTATTTCTGTCAGGTAAATTGAAAAAGATTGCATGTTTTGAGAATTTGTCAATAAAAATTATAAAAGATTGCTTACTGTTAACGTAAGTATCTATATGAACAATTTCATTTACAGTTGTGGGTGTTTGGGTGAATAGAAATTTTGATTTAATAGGATTTCGGTCATATTTCCCTCCATTGCAAATATCACAATTATTGATTATCTCATGAATTCTAATTTTCAGTTGTGGATGGTAAACCTTATGCTTCATTCCCTCATAAGTTGGAATAATTCTCGAGTGTCCTACTTCATATTTGTGAAAAAATGCTATCTGTTTCTTTAGTTCATGATCTTCCTGTATATCTTTGGCAAAATAGCTACACTTCACAAATGACATTTTCTGATTATTTGAATATGTACTTAATAAAATTTGTTGTAACTTATTATACTCATGATGATTAAGTTCAGAGTATATTGCGACTTTGGCATTATCAAAATGTCTTCGTACTATATTAATAACATTTTCAGAGATAATATCCCGTTTATCGATAAAAACTCGTTTGTTTTTGAAAATATTGATTACTTCAACTGTCTTGGTTTTTACTAAGATTATTTGTTTCCTAAAACGGTTTACAATGGTATCAAGAATTTTAAAATGGTCATTAAAATTTTCTACCTGAGAATGAATAGTTTCGCCTTCAACTGATACATTATGGTTATTATCATTTTCTTCTAAATTCGTGTTATTATCTTGGGAGTTATTAGCTTGTACTTCCAAGGAAACTAATGTTTGGTTTTGTTGATTTTCGGCGCTTAAATTTTTGATTCTTAACATTTCATCCAAGGTGAATCCCAAATTTTCGGAATCTAACATATTTATTTCATCGCAATTAATTCGACTAAGAAAATCGGCTATTTTATTTTCTTTTCCGGTAATGTAATCGATTTTGGCATCGTACTCTCCCAGCTGCACTAACCATCGTTGCAGTCTAGGACTAATATCCTTACCAGAATTTTTTACTTGTAACCACTTAAGTGGCTGATGATGAATGTTTGCAGATCAAACTCTCTCCCAAAAATATAAGGTCTATAGTACTTTACTCCCCACACTATTGCTAATAATTCTTTTTCAATAGTGGAGTAATTTTTTTCATGGTCATTTAATGTTCGCGAAGCAAACGAAATTGGGTGACCCTCTTGAGTCAAAACTGCGCCGATTGCAAAATTGCTGGCATCAGTGATGAGTTTAAAACGTTTATTGAATAAAGGATATTTTAAAATGGGATGATTTGTTATGATATCTTTTAGTTTTTCAAATGAAATAATATAATTTGGATCATTTAAATTAACCTTTGCATTCTTTTTTAAATATTGGTTGCATATTTTAGAATAGTCCTTTATAAACTTTCTATAGAAACCAGTAATTCCTAAAAAGGATTTAATTTGTTTTTGTGTAGTAGGCAGCTTCAATTTTTGTATCACTTCAATTTTATTTGGGTTGGGCTTTACGCCCTCAGATGTAAGAATATGCCCCAAAAAATCGGTTTCTTTTTTTAGGAAACTACACTTTTCTAATCGGATCTTTAGCTTTGCTTCTTTTAGTTTTAGAAAAATTTTTTTCATGTTCTCCATATGTTCAGACAAGGAAGTACTAAAAATTAATATATCGTCTAAATAAACGACGCAAATTTTATTTATAAATTCTCGAAGCACAGAATTCATAAGTCGTTGAAAGGTGGATGGGGCATTTTTAAGCCCAAAAGGCATCCGCAAAAGTTCATAATGACCTAACGGGGTCGAAAATGCGGTTTTCTTCCTATCGTTGTCATGCATCAAAATTTGATGAAAGCCTTTGGCAAGGTCTATAGACGAAAAATATTGAGCTTTACCTAACTTATCTAAAATTCCATCTATATTAGGAATTGGAAATTTGTCATTTACAGTAACTTCATTCAGTTTTCTGTAATCAATTACGATCCGCCATTTTTGAGAACCAGATTTGTCCACTTTTTTTGGGACTACCCACAAAGGACTATTATAAGCAGAATTGCTTTCTTTA